CCATCTTCCTGCCTCAGCCTCCTGTGTGGGATTACAGGCATGCACCATCATACCAGGCCTGGTCTCTCAGATAAGAGAAATCATCCAGTGTTTAAGCTTGTATGTCTGATTTCTTTTAACATTATAAAGTTGGATATGGTAGTGCATACCTGTAATCCCAGCACTAGGGAGGCTGAGGTAGGAGGATCATTGCAAGTTCGAGGCCACCGTGAACTACAAAGTGAGCTCAAGGCCAACCTTGAACTGCATAATGAGACCCTGGGGAGATAGCTCAATGGTCTAAGCACCTGCCTGGCAAACACAAAAACCCAAGTTCAATCCCTGGTACTGCATACTGTGCAGACCCTGGAACACCAGGTGCACCATGCTGGCCCTGAAACTGGGCATGGTGGTGCACCCCTGTAATCCCAGCACTAGGGAGGCTGAGACAGGAGGGTCACTATGAGTCTGAACTGTGTAGTGAGACCCTGTATCCAGTCAATAAATAAAAAATTAGTCTCGAGATGGAGCCATTTCTAACACATGATTCATTTATCCTTTTCTGTGTACATACATTTCCTTTAGTCATCTGTTCATTGACATACAGGCTGCTCCCAAGATTAGGGTATTCCAAGCCGTGTTGCTATGGGCATGGGTGTGCACAGGTCACCGCAATGTGATGTCATTAACTCTTCTGGGATAGCGGGGACAGATGGAAGTTTAGATTTTGGAGGAATCGCCACACTGGTTATACTAGTTCACATTCCCCCCAACAATGTAGTAGGTTTCCTTTTTTCCACATCCTCACCAGCACTTGTTATTGTTAAATTTTTTTTTTTTTGATGATAGCTTTTTTATTCCAGAGTGAAATGAAATCCAGTGTTGGTTTAATTTGTAGTCTCATGGCAAGCAATGTTGAGCATTTCTTCACACATTTATTGGCCATCTGCGCTCCTTCTGAGAAGTATCTGTTTCCCTTGGTGTTATGCTTTGTGTCTAGTTGTTCTCCTAAAGCCTCATGCAGTCACTAGGGTGGCTTCTGCAGAACCAGGGATTGAACTCAGGCCCTTGCGCTTACCAGGCAAGCGCTTATTCTACTGAGCCATCTCCTCCGTCTCTGGGATGGCTTCTAGAGTTCTGTGATTAATTCATGATCCAATGCTGGGATTATGGGTGTGACTACACCAGCACCGGGGCAGATGCCTGAATACAATATAAGGGAGGGAGAAAGGCTTGCCAGCTGCCGCAGCCACGGCCCTCCCTTTGCTCTTTGCTGCTTTGCACCACCATGAACGGCTGCCCTCTGCCGTGTGCCGCTCTGCCTTGGAGCCAGCCGAGTATGGACTGAAACCTCCACAAACTGTGAGTGAAATAAACCTTTCTTTCCTTAATTTTGTTTTTGTTTTTGTTTTTTTTTTTAATTTTATTTATTTGTGTGTGTGTGTGTGTGTGTGTGTGTGTGTGTGTGGCCAGCTCAGCCCACCAGGGGGCGGGGCTGGCATGTGGTGCTGGGGGATTGCCCAGCAGTCTTGTGCTTTAGCTAAGCTTGTTCTAAGTAGGTGCTTTAGACCACTGAGCCATCTCACCAGCCCCAACTGAGTCATTTGGCTCTTTTTCTGGTACTGGGAATCAAGCTCAGGACCTTGTGTTCCAGGTAGCCATGGTGTCACTGAGTTAAATCCCTGGCCCAGATGGCCATTTGTTAACTGGACCTTTTTTATTTTTTTGTTTTTGAAACAGAGTCTCCCTATGCAGTTCAGGCTCCCTTGAATTCACTTTGTAGCCCAGGCTGGCCTCCAACTTGCAGTGATCCTCCTGCCTCAGCCTCCCCAGTGCTGGGATTGCAAGGGTGTGCCATCAAGTCTGGCTTGAACTCTGTTTTGTTTTGTTTTGTTTTGTTTTGTTTTGTTTTGTTTTGTTTTGTTTTTAAACCAGGTTGTTTGCTCCAACTTCCTGGTTTAATAAGGACTTGTTTATTTTGAGGAAAAAAAGATCCCAAACATCAGACCTTCACACACAAAAAAATAATAATAATAACCCACACTATCAACTTTAGAAGACAAAGACTATTACACTAATTTTTCTAGAGGATGCATTTGACCTGCTCTCATTCACGAAAATACAATGCTGTATTTGTGTTTAACAGCCCCGGGAAGTACTTGATGTGATACCTGTAACTCTGAAGTCAAACAAAGCTGCTCTCAGATGCTGCACTACATGAGACTGCCTGTGCAGTTAGAGAAGCAACTCCTGAAATCATGTATGAATGCAAGTAACTATGGAAATAACCCTACTGCCTGCATCACGAGAGACTATTGTGGAGACAGCTGATGAAAACCATACAACCTTTTTATTGTTAAGTCATAAACAGGTATCAAAATTAAAAAGCAAAAATGACAGAAGACTTAACAAAACTACTAGGAGCATCGAAGGAAGTGAAAATGGTACCAGGAGCAGGGCAATTATGAACATGGTAGGACACATGGAGAACAGTGAGCGTGTGCTGAAGACGCTAGGGGAGAGGAGCTGGTAAGATTTTGATCTTAGACAAGCGCCTAGATAAAGAAATAATGGGACAAGACTTCTAAACCAAACTATGTGCTTAGAGTCATCCTCGCCATTGGTGCTGTCTCTGTCATCCTCTATTTCCTCAGCCTCTTTTTTACCATCCTTGGTCAACTCCAGCATTTTTTTTTTTTTTTTTTGAACTGGAAG